TCCCCTTTGCTAGTTTTAAGAGAAATTAAATAACATGCAAATATTTTTTAACAAGATGCTCCTTATCAAATAAATAAGAAGCATGTTGTACGGTGGCCTCCTACAGTAAAGGTGTGTGTGTGGTTGATGTTGGAAATCAGCCTGTTTTCCAGTGTAGTCCTGTTTCTCTGACTGTGACTAACTGGATGTGCTCTCTTCATCCTCTGACATGGGAGCTGGCTCGGAGCTCGTCTGCCTGGCTGTGTGTTTCCTGGACGGGGCCGCCTGTGGAGCTGGTTGACAGTTGCCTTTTGTATCTATGCTTCTTTTTCTATCTGTGCTTCTGTCTCCTTGAACCCCAGTGGGCCTCAGCAGATGGCCGCTCACTCTGAGCCTGGTTCTGCTGGAGGTTTCTTCCTGTTCAAAGGGAGTTTTTCCTCTCCACTGTCGCTACAAGCATGCTTAGTGTGAGGGATTGCTGAAGAGTCAATGAGTCGATGCAATCAACTGGTTTTCCTTAGATAGAAAACTTTGAATCAATCTGACTGGATGATCTGGTGAACTGGAAAGTGCCTTGGGATGACATGTTGTGAATTGGCGCTATAGAAATAAACTGAATTAAATTGAATTGGTTGAATGTTTAAGTGCTGCCCAGCAATGGACTGGAGACCTGTCCAGAATGCACCCCACCTTTCACCCTTAGATAGCTTGAGTTGGACACCAGCCACCCTGTGGCCCTAAATGATAGGCAGCAGAGGATGGATGGCTGGATGGGACAAAATTTCATCATATATAATCGGATTCAATTTAAATAATATATAAATAATTTTCAGGTGAGGAGCTCAGTTAGCCAGGAGGAGCTCGGATTAGAGTCGTTGCTCCTCCAAGTCAAAAGGAGCCTGCTGAGGAGGCTCGGGCATCTGTTCCAGATGCCTCCTGGTCATCTCCCTCAGGAGGTGTTCCTGGCATGTCCCATTGGGAGGAGGCCTGGTGGAAGGCCCAGACACGCTATATCTCTGAGCTGGCCTGGTGCTGCCTTGTGCCCCCCCCAGAGCAGCTGGAGGAGGTGTGCATGGATTGGGAAGTCTGGGCATATTTGCTTAGACTGCTGCCTCCGTGACTCGGCCCCCAATAAGCGGAAGAAAATGTTTGGTAAAATGGACGGATATTACAAATCTGGCTTTTTTTTAGTAGGATTTAAAGGGAAAACAAAGCAATCAGTTATCAAGATTAAATTGTGGTGACAAATCTTTACAGTAACATGTTCTGTATAACGCCATCTGTTGTTCACAAACCCTGCCAGCTCACCTCCTTTGAATTTTCAGTCTCTTCTGTCTCCTGAAGCCACGTTTCACTAAAACACATAATGCTGCATTACTTGTTACCAAAAGATCCCACATTGATCGTGATGATTGATGGAAGAGATGGCTTAAATTTCTTCTTCCTCTCTCCTCGCCTACGTTTTAACTCAGCTGGTACTTGTGAAAGTAGTGATTGCATTATTTCAGCTTTAGAGATGTTAATTAGCTGCTCCCAGGTGTAAAAAAAAAATCAAATTACTATGGATGCTGTGGTTAAGCATCATAACAAGACGTCCAAAAATATCTTTAAAATTCCCTCCAGTTTCACAGCAATCAAGATCAGAGACGAAACTGATCCACCAACGGAGAAGACAAATTACTCACTTCAGAGTCAAGCTAGCAGAGCTCCTCCATCGTGCAGCCATCTTAAGCAATGCAACCCTAGAATTTAAGCATTTAGTTTGACCTTTGTCCTTCTCTGCTGACCTTCTCAAAGGGATACTTCTTCTTTCTTAGTTTTTAGCCTTTTAATTTATGTTTTTAGTCCTTTTGGGACACTTTTTACAAACCCTCTATTTATAGGAGGAGTTTGCCAAAACAGAAGAACTAAGCCAAAGACTCTTAAATGTTTTAATCAGTGAAGCAAAGATGGCGGTTTACCTGACTGCAGGAGGGAGCTCACCTTGATGCCGTGGCTCTGTGGAAGTGCAACGTTAAAGGTGGAATAAGGCTGGAGTTTCACTTCCACAGAGCCACACAGAACATGGAGGATTTTCTTCAGCTGTGGGGTTTTAACAACATTTTGTGTTCTGTGTCAGATGGACAACTACAATTTAACAAACTCCTCATTTAATGATTTTTAACGAACACTTGTTTTACGTTAATTGTTTATATGTTTTGAATTGTGCTGATGAAGATTCTCAGTCATCCAGGTCATAGTCATTCTGTAAAAATTCAAAAAATATCCACTGGACTTGGTTTCAAAGATTTGAAGACGTTTCTCCACCTCTCCAGGAAGCTTTCTCAAATCAAATGTCTGGATCCGCAGTGAGTTTGAGTCTTATATAGACAAAGCCTTGTATTGCTTGGAAACAGAATGTTTGTCTGGATAACTGCGGATCCAGACATTTGAATTGAGAAAGCTTCCTGGAGAGGTGGAGAAACGTCTTCAAATCTTGGTAACCAAGTCCAGTGGATGTTTTTTGAATTTTTACGGTATGTTTTGAATTGTGTAAATATAGTGTTGTTAAAAGTCAAAAAAAGTTTTTCTAAGTGCGAGGTTCTGTACCACTTTCCAGATAAATAACAATTTCTTGCATTTTCTGAAAATCTGTGCTACTTCATCAGAATATCTTAAAAGTATAATGTTTAGCTTCGCTTATCGAAATGAAACTTTAACTGGTAGTATTGAAAGACAGGATCAACAGCACCAACTGTTTCCTCATAGAATTCTGGTTGGTGTCAGATAACTATGTATCTTGAAAAAGAAAAAAAAAACAGTTGTAAAATCGTATTTTGTTTTTTTTACAGTTGAGGCAATTGAAGAAAAATATAGAACCTACTTCCTGTAAAAAAAAGACAACAAACAAACAAAAACCTTGAGACCATAATTGATGCCTTAATGATTTTTTCTTGGATTTAGTTGATCTTCTATTTCTGTCTAATAACAGGTACAGCATCCTGCAACGCAACTTTTAATAGAAACAAGGGAAAAAAAGGTTATTTCTCATTATGGATCCTGTTGTTTTCTGCACTGGAAAAACAATCTAGAAATAAGTAAAAAATGTCTTAAATGAAGTGTATTTACCCTCAATTTGAGTTGGTATTGGTTGAGTATTTTTACTCTTAGGTATTTAGATAAAATGCACTTTAAATAAGACAATGCAATTGTGTTTTCTTATTTTAAATCCAAATTGTCTTGTTCCATTTCTTTGCCTCCTTAATCCAAGAACAAATGCACTAATTTAGAGAAAAAAATGACTTATCTAGATTTTTATTTTTTCCAGTGTGATTACATTTGATTAGTTTAAAAGTGTTTCTTGCATCTGTTTAACTTGCTGTACTCATACATGCAATTTCACGCCCCACTTTAACTTTAAATCTTTCTTAAAAACGTCTGTTTGTGCACCTTTTACTCTGTGCTGATCTCTTATTTGGGTTTATTAAAGTATTTTATTAAACCGTCATGACTTTAAAGCCCTTTATAAGTAAAGTCACATTGTACATCGTTTAAATCAGGAAAAAAAAAATACATTCAAAGTTGTTTATTGAATACAATCCCAAAGTCTACATTTTACAACTATATTTTTAATGTCGAAAATGGCGGCACATTACATTTATTACCAATGGTTTTCCAAGGAGTCTGAATCCCTAAAAGATTAATGGAATAATTTTCTTTTGTCTGTCAGATTCAACATTCTGAGCTGAAGTCTTCACCTTGGCACAGAAACGTCTTTAAGAGCTTCTACTTTTCACGGACAGATGAACTAATAGGTTTTATGTGTTCAACATTATGAGATAATGACAAATAAAGCTGCTTATAACTCCCATTTTAGTTTGGCTACTTTAACAAAACAATTCAACACAGAAAAAATGGCATGTACCTGGAGACTTAGAAAATAATAATATCAATTATAATACATCCAGTAACGATAAACAAAATCCTACTAAGAGTACATTTCCTCTTTGTCTCTGTTGACAAGTTGAAACACTTAAAGGATGGCACCAATATGATGAGGGATATAAAATGTTACTGCACTTTGGTCCCGTTTTAAGAAAGGACTTGATGTTATTAAAATGAATTATTGACTCCAGAGGAAGTTTCGAAAGACGACAGAAACCGTCCAGCCTTTGAAAGCTGGAGAATGTCAAACAATCTGATATGAAGCACGGCGATCAGAAGCAAATGTTTGGAAAAACACAACAAAAAACAAGCTTTGACGATGAGCAAAATTGGCAGTCCTTGCTCTGAAGAGACAAAACGGAACGCAGATGATCATTTTTTGTGGCTAATATGTTGTAGCCACTCCCTCAGCATCTGAAAGCTTGGTCGCGCTGCAGGATCCAGGTTCCAGCACTGTTTCATGATGTTATAAACCACTTCAGGACAGCCGTCCGGACAGTCCATTTTGTAGCCCTTCTCCACGCGAGGCACAACATCTTTTAACGGCTAAAGAAAAAAAAAAAAAACACAGTTAAAAGCAGAGAGAATAAATAAGAACAGATTTTTCCTGCGGTGATTATAATACTTACAATTCTTGGATAGGGAACTCGGCCAAAGGAGTAAATCTCCCATAGTAAAATACCGTAGCTCCAAACGTCCGATTTGGTGGAAAATTTCTGTTGATTACATAAAAAAATTAAACATGGGCAGATTTTTTTTTTTAACTCACTCACATAATAAAGGATTTGCTTCCTTACTTTAATATGTTATTTATTATTTTTTGTTGCTCTGTAATGTTTCAGATCATAAAACAAATGATAATTGAAAAAGATGACAAAATTAACACAAAATTTTAACTAATAAGTATATTTTTATTTCTTATCGGAAAAAAAAGGAAATAAAAGCAACCTTTATTCTGTTTGAAAACATAATTTTTCCTCAATGATTTAGATAGCTTATTCTCCAATAACAAATTATATAATTTTTACATTTACTCTTACTAAATTAAAAATACGGCTGAAAAACTAAAACACCGAAGTTTGATAAAAAGAAACATAACTTAGCCCTTTAAAGCCCGATCCAAGAATAAAACAAAACAAAAAATTACTTTTTTTTGGTTTGAATTCCTTATTTGCCCTTTTAACGAAATATGTAAAAAGAAAAAAACAGAAATACATTTTTGATATTAATAATTTATTACTATGTGATAAGTCAAGATTATTTTTTGTGTAGTCTTCTACTGGCTGTTATCAGGTATATCTGATTGTGTACAATAGGATTTTGAGCAAAGTTTTTACCATTAAATTATGCAAAAGGTGTCAGATGCAAAACATTTCAGAAACTGTATGTATCAAATATGATACATTTGGCATTACAGGGTTAGGTAAAACAGACACTGGTACTTGAGTAGGGTGAGTAGTGTTGCCAACTTCCTGAAAAATTAGAGGCATTACAGGCTAACAAAAGAAGCCAAACGACCTCCATTCCAAAGGGGTGGACCCGTTCGTCTGTTTTATTTGCATGTTTTCTAAACAAAAACAGGCTTTGTTGCGCTACTGTATAAATCCTGGAACTCAACGCTATTTCTGACATCCTGAATTGAAAAAGTTTCCTGGATGGAAGAGAAACGTCTTCAAACTTTTTCCAAAAAGGTAAAAAAACAATCCACTGGACTTTGTTTCCAAGTCTTTTTTTCTTTAAACTTGGAAACAAAGTCCATTAGTTTGTTTTTAACCTTTTTGGAAGTTTATAATGTGTTTACACACTGGAAAAACTATCTAGAAATAAGTAAAAATGTCTTAAATTAAGCGTATTTACCCTTGATTTGAGTAGGTAAATGAGATAGTTTGCCAATGGAATCAGTATTTTTACTCTTAAAATAAGATAATTAGATAGCATTCACTTGAAATAAGAGAATGCTATTGTGTTTTCTTATTTTAAATCTAAATTGTCTTGTTCCACTGGCAAGATGTCTCTTATCTCCTCAGTTCAAGAACAAATGCACTTATTTCAAGAAAAAATGACTTATCAAGATTTAGTTTTTTGCAGTGCATCTTTTTTTACATTTCTATTTTCCTTTTCTATATATCTGTATTCAAAAAGTCTTCACTAAGAGCAAAGTGAAACCAAAGTTAAATTCCTTGTTTTTTCTGACAAACTGGGAAAATAAAGCCGATTCTCAGAAGGGGAGAAATGCTTCTGCCCGCTACTGTGATCTGATTTATACGGCCAGAGTGATCATCTATCAGATTACCTTTTCTCTGAGGGCTTCTGGCGCCGTCCATTTAACAGGAAGCTTAGCAGTATCTTGAGTAGAGGAAGCCTCTTTGGTCAAACCAAAGTCACTGACTTTGGCGATGTTGTCGTCCGACACAAGTACGTTTCTCGCTGCTAGATCTCGATGAACAAAGTTGTTGGCCTCCAGATAAGCCATGGCTTCACAGACGTCTCTGCAAAAGTAAAGCTCAGTTGGTATACAGTAAGTGATAACCTATTTCTTAACATGATGATTTATAGTTTTATTAATATCCAAAAGCTGATTTTTGGTATCAAGGTATCCACTGGTTTCATTTCCCTTCATGGTTTAGATTCATTCATCTACTTACTTAACCGAGGGTTTCTTTAAAATCAATCTACACATAGATTATGTTACCTTGTGCATGTAGTCATACTGCTAATCAGTTTAAGAAGCAAATCAACCAGAGAATATTGCATTAATAAAAAGTTATGTTAATCTAAACGAAGGAACAAACAGTAGCTTAATGCATTGGAAGGTGAGGACTGAATAAAAGTTGTGAAATTGCAGAACGTGAGACTATTCCTGTTTTAATAAAGAAATGTCCATACATTCCTTTCATATTTAACTGTAAGTCTTGGGTCAGATGTTGTACACGTCCTTCCCTCAGCTTCTCATAATAATTTTCTGTCATTTTGACGGGTTTGTAGAATGCATTGCTAACATAAGCTCAGAAAAAGTGACGTTTTTGCCATTAGGCCCCATTAAGCAGGACAGTGATTCATTTTTCTGATGTAATTATAAGTTCAAAGAAGATGAAGTTGCTAAATTATTTCCAAATAATTGCATCCACCTTCTGCAGCCAAACAGCCTTAAAGGAATAGTACACCCAAAACATGATTAGCCTTCATTTTCTACTCACCCCCATGCTGAACAACACTCTGGAGTACTTTTTTGATATCTCAAATGCATCTGGAGATCTGGGAGGCTTCTTGTTGTCTGCTGACATTCAAATAATGGAGGTCTATGGCGCCCGAGGCAGAAAGGTCCATAAAAGTCCACAAAAAACGTGTCAATATTCCTCCATACTGCTCGTCCAATGTATTCCAAGTGTCCTGAATGGGTAGCGTCCATAATTTACTCGAAACGAAGTCATTTAGAATGTTTTTAGAGCATAAACAGTAGTGGATAGGATTTCCTAAAAGCGCGTTCACGACGCTACGGAAACCGCGGCAGACCAAACCAGATGAAAGTGCGCATTCAGCGTCTGCTCTGCCGATAATGCAAGCGTAGAAGAAGAAATGTGCTGTTTACCTGTGCAAAGAAAGAAACAACGAAAGAAAAATGTCTGAGGACTTCAGTGTTGAGGAAGAGCATGAGTTCTTTGCCACGTTTTTTGTGGACTTTTATGGACCTTTCTGTCTCGGGCACCATAGACCTACATTATTTGAATGTCAGCAGACAGCAAGAAGCCTACCAGATCTCCAGATGCATTTGAGATATCAAATGACTCCACTCCAGAGTGTTGTTCAGCATGGGGGTGAGTAGAAAATGAAGGCTAATCATGTTTTGGGTGTACTATTCCTTTAAAATATGATGCTGCTTGACTTTCACTTCCCAGTTGGTTTGGCGTTCTCAGGGTGGTTAGCTCCCCCCTCTGTCCTAAAAATACTATAATCTTTTACTGCAAGCTTTTTATATTGGTATTGTTGGAATGGAGTCTTCGTCTCCGAGTGGCCTTTCAGCCCAGGACTCATTTTACTTTACAGGACTCCCTACTAAGCAGCTTCTAGAAGCATCTTCACAAGGTTTTCTGCCACCTTCCTGAAATCTGCATTTCCATGGTGTTTTATACTTGGGTATAATTGCTTTGGTGGATGAATCTAGTAGCCTCGTGAGACCATCCTGATCTCGCGAGCTTTCAAGGTTTCACTCGCAGATCAGTCTGGAGACTCTCCGTTAAAGAAAATTTGGAGCCGTTCACCAAACGAACGTCCAATCAGCGTTGGCTTTGAGGCGGGTTGAGGTGTGACGCAACGAGAAGCGCGACAGTTCAGTCTAAAGAACATGGCGGCTTCAGCTGATGAAACTAGCGTTAGCGTGGCTATCGAGCAAGTTTTATCGGAATTACAGAGTATTTCTTCACTGAAAGAAGAGCAAAACACTGCTCTGGAGGCTTTTCTCAGAGGAAAAGATGTTTTTGCTCTTCTCCCGACTGGTTTCGGCAAGAGTAGCCTGGCTTGTGGTTGTGTATTCGTTGTCGCTCTGTTAGTACGTCATATGCTTCGTTGATCTGATTGGTTTATTTGGCCCGTCTATCACCAACATAGGCCAATCAGCTAACCAGTATTTACGCCCCTTCCCAAAATTACTTCAACGGAAGGTTTCCAGATGGATATGCGGAGCAAATCCATCTGGCGGAGTCAGGTTATGAATCTAGTGCTGCCAGGGTTGTTTTTCCATGATGTCAACCAGGGCAGCAGTGTGCTGCAGGTGTTGGCTTAAAAAACATTCACAGGAACATTTCAACAAACTAATATGTTGTTAATTGACCTATGAGGTGTTTTGAAAGCAGTGACATCATTATCAAATATACCAGAAATAGATTAAAAGTTATGAAATTTCATCACTTTGAATAATCCTAACATACAGTGAGGAAAATAAGTATTTGAACATCCTGCTATTTTGAAAGTTCTCCCACTTAGAAATCACTGAGGGCTCTGAAATGTCATCGTAGGTGCATGTCCACTGTGAGAGACATGATCTAAAAGACGTAATCCAGAAATCACAATATATATGATTTTTTTTTAAAACTACTTATTTGTATGATATCGCTGCAAATAAGTATTTAAACACCCTTCTATATTGCCAGTTCTCCCAATTAGAAATCATGGAGGGGTCTGAAATTGTCACCTGTCGGAACACCCGTCTGTCGGCTAGAATCCTGACCCTCAAAGACCTGTTAGTCTGCCTTCAAAATGTCCACCTCCACTCCATTTATTACCCTCAATTAGATGCACCTTTTTGAGGTTGTTAGCTGCATGCAGACACGTGTCCACCCCAGAATCCAACTGCTAACATGGCCAAGACCAAAGAGCTGTCCAAAGAAACTAGAGACGAAATTGTCCACCTCATCAAGGCTGGAAAGGGCTACTAGGAATTTACCAAGCAGCTTGGTGAAAAAAGGAAGCAATCGTTAGAAAATGGAAGAAGCTAAACTTGACGGTCAATCTTCCTCGGAACGGGGCTCCATGCAAGATCTCACCTGGTGGGGTCTTAATGATCTTAAGAAATGTGAAAAATCAGCCCAGAACTACATGGGACTAGCTGGTCAATGATCTGAGAAGAGCTGGGACCACCGTTTCCACGGTTACTGTTGGTAATACACTAAGACATCATGGTTTGAAATCACGCACGGAAGGTTCCCCTGCTTAAACCGGCACATGTCGGCGCCCGTTGGATGACCATCTGGATGATCCAGAGGAGTCATGGAAGAAAGTCTTGTGGTCAGATGAGACCAAAATACAACTTTTTGGTCATAATTCCACTAACTGTGTGTGAAGAAAGAAGAATGATGAGTACAATCCTGACATGGGGGTGGTAGCATCATGCTTTGGGGATGTTTTTTTTTTCTGCACATGGGACAAGGCGACTGCACTGTATTAAGGAGAGATTTTAGGGAACAACCTCCTTCCTTCAGTTAGAGCATTGTGGATGGGTGGAGGCTGGTTCTTCTAACAGGCCAATGACCTGAAGCACACAGCCAGGATAACCAAGGAGGGACTCTGGAAGAAGCATATCAAGGTTCCGGTGTGGCCTAGCCAGTCTCCAGACTTAAACCCGATAGAGAATCTTTGGAGGGAGCTCAAACTCTGTGTTTCTCAGCGACAGCCCAAAAACCTGACTGGAAGATCCGTGTGGAGGAATGGGCCAAAATCCCTCCTGTAGTTCGTGCACACCTGGTGAAAAACTATAAGAAACGTTTGACCTCTGTATTTGCAAACAAAGGCTACTGTACCAAATATTAACACTGATTTTCAAATACTTATTATCTTACAAATAAGTAGTTAAAATATCATATATTGTGATTTCTGGATTTTGTTTTTTAGATTATGTTTAATCGGACATGCACCTACGATGTCAATTTCAGAGCCCTCCGTGATTTCTAGGTGCAGAAGCTGAAAAATAGCAGAATACTTCTGCTATAATACTTATTTTCCTCACTGTACCTTAATCAGTTAGGTCTGATTTAACCCTATAATGCCAAATGTATCGTATTTGATACATACGGTTTCTGAAATGTTTTTGCATAATTTAATGGTTAAAATCCTATTGTAGACAATCAGATATACCTGATAACAGAGGGCAGAAGACTACACAAAAAATAATCTTAACTTATCGCATAGTAATAAATTATTAATATCAAAAATGTATTTCTGTTTTTTTTTTTTTTTTTTTTACATATTTTGTTAAAAGGCCAAACAAGGACTTCAAACCAAAAAAAAGTATTTTTTTCTGTTTTGTTTTATTCTTGGATCGGGCTTTAAAGGGTTAAAGTTCAGTCTAACTGAACATCAGACAATGGAAAAAGTAGCATATCTTTAGTCAGCACATGTAAATATTTCACTCCACTGTATCATAATTACACATATAAAGGAATACTCACAAAGAAAAGTTAACGAGTGCCTCTCCACCAAGTACCGTACGCCCTCTGGACCGTAGGTAGTCAACTAAACAGCCCTGCAAAAAGTTCAAACATACACGTAAGCCCCCCCCCCCATGAGGATATATTTAATCCTATATGTTAAAAAAGATTCCAGTTAGAGACAAAAATCCAATCTGGAGCCCCCTACCTTTGCCATATACTCCGTAACTATAAAAAGACTTCCATTCTCCTCTACGATCACACCAAGCAGCTGGACCAGATTATTGTGCCGTAGTTGCCTGGTGAAAAAAACAAGACCATGGGCAATGTCACATTTGGTTTTTGTGTTTTGGTTATAAAGTATTTCTATATTTTCCAGCCTTACGTCATAACAGAGGCTTCTGCAATAAAGGCCTGAGCTGTAGCATCGTTTTTTATGCACTTCACAGCTACTTTCGTCCCTCGGTAGTCTCCCACCATGACATCTGGAGTAATCATCACACAGTTAACATTTGGAAGGCAGTTCATTAGCGTATGACAGCAGCAATATTCTTCACATTTCAAGCAGATTTATATGATGAAACATGGTTGAAATGCTGCAGTGCCTAGCATTTTTTTAACTTTAAAAAAAAAAGTTTCTCTTTGGAATTTATGTAAAGCACAAAACTGGGAAGTGGAAGTAAAATGTTCATAAAGTCTGTGTATTATTGGCCATTTGCTGAGATATCCCTGAATAAAGTGTACCAATTAAATTAAAAGAAAATACTCTACATAGGTGTTATTTAATCTCAATATAAATACAGGTTTTCATGTGAGAACTCATTGGAACTTTGATCTTCTTGTGGTACGGAAACAAGAAGAGGCCCATGGCTGCAGAAAGCAATGAAAAGTTCAAATTAAAGTCACTAAGGAGACAGTTAACTTGTGGGAATAAGGCGCTCTGGTCCGATGTACGGTGGCTGAGAAGTGCAAAACACATTTACAATTCAAAACCACATTAACAAATAAAAAACAAAATAACATTTGAAGAAACAAAATTATATTTTATGAAACAAATGTATTTTTGAAAAAAAAAGTTACAATTTTTAAAAACAAATTTATATTTTAGCAAACAAATTCACATTTTAAATAAGTTAGATTTTAGGTGAGAGAAAGTTTCATTTTAGAGAAAAAAAAAATACATTATAGGGAAACAAATTTACATCTAAAAAAAAATTGACCGTTCGGAAACACTTGTACAAGTGCAAAGACAAAACTGCAAGTGGCAAAACACAGTTACATAGCCAAAAACAAATTAACAAAAGACGGGTACACGGAAAGGGAATGTCCCAGTGGCCGGATGTGACGTCCCCATTACCCTGACTTGTAGTACAAACAGCTCAATCTGTGAATTTGATTCCTAAAATGTAAATTTGTTTTTAAAAATTGTAACTTTTTTTTTCAAAAATACATTTGTTTCATAAAATATAATTTTGTTTCTTCAAATGTTATTTTGTTTTTTATTTGTTATGTGTTTTTGAATTGTAAATGTGTTTTGCACTTCTCAGCCACCGTACCGATGAGACCAATATTAGACTTTTAGCCAACATCTAAAACATTCATTAAGATACTAAAGAATAATATAGATAAAAGTATTTATACAAAATGACAATAAAAAGTCTGCAAAGAATATCCCTGTTGATCCAGTCAGTTCATACCAAAATTTAAAGGAGACATTGTGGTAAGAATTGAAAACATGTTTATATACACTCTCAATTGTTTCTGAATGGAATTTCATGATGAACTCGGAGAAATAATTATTTTATAGACCTGAAACTTTAAACTAATCCATCATTTTCCATCCACTTTACTAATATCCAGTGCTTTTTTTTTTTTATTTCACATGAAATCTTAATAAATTATATAGAAAAGTGTAGTTATGATGCTGGTGACGATTCTCAGTCATCCAGGTTATAGTTTGAAGACATTTCTCTTCCCATCCAGGAAAATTTTCCAATTCATAATGTCAGAAATAGAGTTGAGTTCGAGGCTTTATCCAGCAGCCCAACAAAGCCTTTTTTTTTTCTTAGAAAACATGCAAATAGAAATGGACAAACGGGTCCACTCCTTTGGAATGGGTGTCGTTTGGTTTATTTACTTAACCTGCAATGCCCCATACCTTTCTATGGCTACGTTCACACTGCAGTCCTTGATGCTCAATTACGATTTTTTGCGAAATCTGATTTTTTTGCATTGCCGTTCATATTTCCAAATATATGCGACTAGTATGTGATCTCATGTGTGAACTGCAGTCATACAACGCAAGTGTCCCGCATGCGCAGTAGAGGACGCAATGACGTCACAAGCCAGCATGCTCTTTTTTAACAGAAGTAAACATGAATGTTAGTGCCGGAGCGCATCTAGCGATCTTTTCCAACCATAAAAATACAGTCTTTTCAATATGGCTAAACATAAATACTTGTTAGGTTTATTCAATGATGATTATAAAATTAATGTGTGTTTATGAAACATTTGTGCGAGGGGATGCTCCACTCCTGTCTCATGATCCAGTCAGGAGACCATCCTGCCTTGTCATTCTGATGGAGCATTCTGTCTTCATGAATGGATCAATTGTTCTGTCAGAACAATACCCTGTTTGTAACCATGTGTCATGTTCTGTTAATAAAACGCTCTGCGGAGGAGGTCCAGTGGGAGACAGTGTGTTTGAGTCTGGGGTTCAACTGTCTCTCCTTTCTGCAGAAATTGTATCCATTACTGTGTATTTCAGTTCTTCTTTTGCAAACCTACATTTATGAACCCGACAATACTGCTCTCTGCATCATCGCCTGTCATGGTTGTTTTTCTCGCCGCCTCTTCATAGCTAGACGCATATTAGTGACCTTTGTTGGGTATTAATGGTGTTCAGGTCGGATGAATGTGACCTAGTCGTTCAGACACAGGTCGCATTTGAAAAGATCAGATTCGTATCGGATTCAGGACCACAGAGCCAAGCGGCCTTAGTCGCAGTGGAAAAAACTGGATTTGTGTTATTCAGACAGCCATGAAAAGATCAGAACCGTGTCACACAAGGTCAAAAAAATCGGATTTGGGTCACTTCAGGCTGCAGTATGAACGTAGCCTAAGTCTCTGAAACGGGGGTCGTTAAAGGGAATTGTTGGCCTGGCTGAATATGTGAGGTCTTCTGTTCCCCTGTACAGGGGTTGCAATTATAGTGGGAAGGAATCAACTCAATTGCTGCATTGTAGGTTTTTGAAAGCAGAAATCTGAATACACCAACCTTAAACACCTTAAACAGAGGGGGTGGACTAAAATTTCAGCTTTAAAAAAAAAGCCAGGCCAACAATTCCCTTTAACAACCCCCCTTTTCAGAGACATAGACAGGTATGGGGCATTGCAGGCTAACATCTATCCATCCATCCATCTTCCTCCACTTATCCAGGGTCGGGTCGCGGGGGCAGCTGCTTAAGAAGGGAGGCCCAGACTTCCCTCTCCCCAGCCACTTCTTCTAGCCCCTCAGGAGGAACCCCAAGGCGTTCCCAGGCCAGCCGAGAAACATAGTCTCTCCAGCGTGTCCTGGGTCTTCCCCGGGGCCTCCCCCCGGTGGGACGTGCCCGGAACACCTCACCAGGGAGGCGTCCAGGAGGCATCCTAAACAGATGCCCGAGCCACCTCAACTGGCTCCTCTCGCCGTAGAGGAGCAGCGGCTCTACTCCTCACCCTATCTCTAAGGGAGAACTCAGCCACCCTACGGAGGAAACCCATTTCGGCCGCTTGTATCCGCGATCTCGTTCTTTCGGTCATGACCCAGAGTTCATGACCATAGATGAGGGTAGGAACTACAGGCTAACAAAAAAAGCCAAATTACCCCCATTCCAAAGGGGTGGACCCGTTCGTCCGTTTCTATTTGCATGTTTTCTAAACTAAAACAAGCCTTTGTTGGGCTGCTGGATAAAACCTGGAACTAAACGCTATTTCTGACATTTTGAATTGAAAAAGCTTCCTGGATGGAAGAGAAATGTTTTCAAACTTGGAAATAAAGTCCAGTGGATGTTATTTTTAAAGCTACAGTGTGTAACTTTTAGCGACATCTAACGTCCAGACTGCAGACCGCAGCAACATGAACATCTCCTCCCCACCGCTTCTCCCCCCCAACAGTACGGCGAGCGTTACGGGACAAAATGTCTTCCACGACGTCCGCATCACCTACCTTCTCAAGTGATGAGGTTTGTTTACATAGATAATTTTACAGATAGTATTCTCAGGCATAATACTGCCATCTATTGTTCAGTACCGTCTCAGTTCATCTCTCTCAACTTGCCGTAGTTACTTTCGAGCGTAATGGGCGATCTCGCAATCGCTAGTTTGTTGGCTCTGCGCTGCCGTAGCGCAAAGATGTCTGCCTCCATGGCTGCGAGACCCGCTCCTATGTAATTATAAATAACGAATTCTAAGGCAACGCAAATATTAAGGTTAAGAGGCTGAGCTCGTAGATGATGATAAATGACATAGTTATGTATAATATATTACATTTCTGACTGTATATCCCTGTAATTATTACACACTGTAGCTTTTAAACATTTTTGAAATGTAGTTGTGAGAAAAAATTATCTAATCTTCTTTCTTAAAGAAATGTACACTCTTATACTATTTTTTTCAACACCATCTTATTATTATTTATTAAAAAAAACAAATCAAAGAATAAATATAAAAAAGGCTTTTTCTTTAGTAAGTGGAGTGAATCTACTTGCCTCCAAATTCTCCTTTACCAATAACCTGATGAAGCTTCAAGTCTTTTCTGCTCATAGACCATCCACCTGTTAGTCAGTTAAAAAGGAAAAGACATATTAGTGAAAACATTCACTAATGGTGAACATGGTTTAGCACATCATTGCATCATTGAAACACAGACAAACTGAGTCTTACTCCTGGAGAACTCGTCCTGAGCAGCCACAGTGCCCTCCTCTAGCTTTGGCTTAATCAGCTTGGTGCACAGGCCGTCTGCATCTTTGGTGTAGTGCTGGAGAAGGTCAGATGTAGACAGTTTAAAGTAACAGGCAGACGCTTAAAAGAAAGAAAAATTCAGTCATGTCAAAAACTAAAAAAGAAACTAATTAATTGCCCAGCTTTGCTCTGTGGGCGGTTTTGGTTGTGACTGTGGGTTATCCTCTTAATTTGATGAATACAAATAAATGTTTGCGTTTTCTGCTCTAGAGAAGAAGCTGTACTTTCAAAGGCCGTCTGCTTCATTCATGTTTGATAAACTATGATCGACAGACTGATTATTATCTAGAAGGAAAGAGAGACGGTGAAAGGATGTGATGAACAAGAAATTCTTCTGAAAGAAAAAAAAAAGCATCAGATACAGTCACCTTTATGTCTGCAACATACAGCAGCCATTTCATGATTAACGTTTTGACATTTAGGAGGAAAAAAGGTCCAACCGTTTGATGTGCCTATTATCTATCTAAAAAGTAATAAATAGAGGTTTACCCCGGTCTAAATCAGCTGTTTAATCCATAGAGTTTAATTGTTTACCTGCAGCAAAAAAAGATTTTATTAAATAAAACGATTTGTTTTGTGGTGAAATGAAAGAATTACTATTCTTGGTGTTTTAGACTACTGCTACTACTGTTTAAGGATTAGGGCCGTTCTAACAAAGTGAAATGTGTGATGCTGCCAGCAGCTTGTATCACTATCTGCAGGGTGTGTTCACAATCATGTCCTGGTTTGTTCCTTCGTCTTCATGAGTCTGTTTGTTCACTAATGTTCTCTAACAAACCTCAGAGGACAGATGTGTTACTGAATTACACACAGATTGGATCCGATTTACCGAATAAGTTACGTCTACAGTCGGTTATTTGAATAAGAAATCATTGAAGGGTATGAGAGTGCTGGACTAAATTAGAAACGCAATCCAAATTTTCTTTTTTTGTATTATTCAAATATTGCACTTCACAGTTATCTAACACATCATGCGGATATGTAAGAGAAAATCCAAATAACAACCTGAAAACTGAAGGCTTAACATGTTTGAAAAAGTTCAAGGTGTAAAAGAAGTCTGCAAGGCTAAAGACATATGTCTAAAGACATACACTATATTGCCAAAAGTATTTGCTCACCCATCCAAATTATTGGAATCAGGTGTTCCAATCACTTCCATGGCCACAGGTGTATAAATTCAAGCACCTAGGCATGCAGACTGTTTTTACAAACATTTGTGAAAGAATGGGTCGCTCTCAGGAGCTCAGTGAATTCCAGCGTGGAACTGTGATAGGATGCCACCTGTGCAACAAATCCAGTCGTGAAATTTCCTCGCTCCTAAATATTCCACAGTCAACTGTCAGCTGTATTATAAGAAAATGGAAGTGTTTGGGAACAACAGCAACTCAGCCACGAAGTGGTAGGCCACGTAAACTGACGGAGCGGGGTCAGCGGATGCTGACGCGCATAGTGCGAAGAGGTCGCCAACTTTCTGCAGAGTCAATCACTACAGACCTCCAAACTTCATGTGGCCTTCAGATTAGCTCAAGAACAGTGCGCAGAGAGCTTCATGGAATGGGTTTCCATGGTCGAGCAGCTGCATCCAAGCCATACATCACCAAGTGCAATGCAAAGCGTCGGATGCGGTGGTGTAAAGCACGCCGCCACTGGACTCTAGAGCAGTGGAGACGCGTTCTCTGGAGTGACGAATCGCGCTTCTCCATCTGGCAATCTGATGGACGGGTCTGGGTTTGGCGGTTGCCAGGAGAACGGTACTTGTCTGACTGCATTGTGCCAAGTGTAAAGTTTGGTGAAGGGGGGATTATGGTGTGGGGTTGTTTTTCAGGAGCTGGGCTTGGCCCCTTAGTTCCAAGGAAAGGAACTCTGAATGCTTCAGCATACCAAGACATTTTGGACAATTCCATGCTCCCAACTTTGTGGGAACAGTTTGGAGCTGGCCCCTTCCTCTTCCAACATGACTGTGCACCAGTGCACAAAGCAAGGTCCATAAAGACATGGATGACAGAGTCTGGTGTGGATGAACTTGACTGGCCTGCACAGAGTCCTGACCTCAACCCGATAGAACACCTTTGGGATGAATTAGAGCGGAGACTGAGAGCCAGGCCTTCTCGTCCAACATCAGTGTGCGACCTCACAAATGCGCTTCTGGAAGAATGGTCAAAAATTCCCATAAACACACTCCTAAACCTTGTGGACAGCCTTCCCAGAAGAGTTGAAGCTGTTCTAGCTGCAAAGGGTGGACCGACGTCATATTGAACCCTATGGATTAGGAACGGGATGTCACTTAAGCTCATATGTGAGTCAAGGCAGGTGAGCAAATACTTTTGGCAATATAGTGTATGTCTTTAGACATATGTCTTTAGACATATGGCTAAAGACATATGTCTTTAGACATATGTCTTTAGACATATGTCTAAAGACATATGTCTTTAGACATATGGCTAAAGACATGTCGCTACAAGCATGCTTAGTGTGAGGGATTGTATTTGAGTCAATGAGTCGATGCAATCAGCTGGTTTTCCTTAGACAGAAAACTTTGTATCAATTTGACTGTATGATCTGGTTGAACTGTAAAGTGCCTTGAGATGACATGTGTTGTGAATTTGGCGCTATATAAATAAACTGAATTGAATTGAATATTTGAGAACGTCTTTATTATACTTAAGCATTTTACTGGCATTTCAACTGGCTCACTATATGGCATTGAGGTTTAAATTTTTTTTTTATTCTTTGAATTATTTAGTAAATCATCTCCAGTCTTTTTTTTTTTTTTTTTTTTTCCAGGATTTTACTGCAAACTTTGGGTTTTTAATGATTTTTTAGTTTGATTTGAGTATGGTGTAATACCGCTTTTGACCATTTAGTTGTTTTGGGGGGCGCTGTTTCTCCCTTCTTTCGTATATATACATATTTAGATAATAACTTGGGGAAAAAATGAAATTTCCCTGCCATTTCAAAAGTTTATCATTACAATTCTTGTAAAACAACATAATTTAAAGCCTATTCATTTATTTATTAATAAAATAACACTTCTTATAAATCCTTTACACATAGAATGGTGTTTACTTACTAAAGCCATGAATTTTGGATACAGCGCGAAGGTACTGATATCTGGATTTAATGTGGTTTCTCCTCTATATTAAGCATAGTAAACATGTTTTAATAAAACATACTGTTGATGATATCTTAAATTTTTAGCACAACTCAGTGCAAAGACAATTCAGGGGAGTACTTTGTGTCAGGTAATGTCTTTAACAGTAGTTTAAACCTTCTTGACCGAAGCTTTGGGTGTCCATTGTTCATCTAGTGGTGAAGTTTGGAACTTGTCGGCTTGCTGGGAAGAAGCAAGGAGGCGGCGGTGCAGTTCAAAATGCTTTACATTAAATAAACAATAAAATAAGAGTGACTAGTATTAGAATATAAGCTGTTAGAGGTAAAAACAACCTTAAATCAGGCAGTAAAGCAAATAGAACTGTTGGACAACAAACTTTTAACTTAAGGTTTAACTTTGGTATGACTTTGCAGAAACAAGATTAAAACGAAAAGTTTCCCCACATTATCTCACTTAATGTGTCCTTCTACAAGCCTATAAGCATATTTGCTGTAAGCATATTTGCTCAGAATGTTGAGTATTTAATTGAAGCATGTTTTTATTCTACAAATTGAGATGTAAACTTTTCCTTTTGGCTTTATCTGACTGGGCTTAAATAATTTATCTATGACATAATAGTAAGATTATGTCATCAACATCCTTGTTGTTATTTATGTAGTTTGGTTTTGCAGAACATCGAAGACAAATATATGAAAATAGGAGATTAAATTAAAACAAACCTGCTGCAAATAGAAACCTGAGGCTCTAGAGCTCAAAAATCAGTTTTGTTAGAACCAGAGCTTTTTACAGTGGTGGCCAATAGAGGGCTCTCTTACTAAATACTACAGTTACACATCCATTAACTGTGAACAAAAGTTTTTGTTCCAGAAAACGAACAAGCGGCAGTTCAGAATACGTCCTTCACACAGGAAAAGCACCCAGTTTGACAGCAAAGAGCCTTTTTGAGGTTGAACCTCAGCATAATGTTCACTTCCTCTTTAACTCTTCCTGTTCAACATATGTTCCAGGAACTGAATGTTGTGAAGTTGTACAGCTATGTCGGCTTCCTAAACCCCGCCCACCTTAGACTAATGCTTCAGTGCTAGACCATATGTATAAACAATGAGCATTTATTTTTATAGGTTACCTCTAATCTTGCAGTCTCACCTCAACCAGCTGCATGAGGTTCTCAAAATAGGCCTCTTCATCAATAGTGAGCTTGCCGTTTTTGTAGATAATGCGGTAGTGCTCCACCTTCCCGTCACAGCTCACACACAGAGTGTAGTCACCAGGGAAGTTGGTGCTCTCTCTCACCAAGAACAGGCCTGTCTCAGGAGGGTGAAGCAGCCGCTCGGCCTGGTCTCGTGTTATCTTCCCATGAAACCATCTGGAAGAGTAAGAAAAGAATTGGGGCACTAAAATGAGCTGAAGAAAGCGCTTCACAGTGCAATATAAAAACAAAAAGAGCATAAAATTCATAAATCAGTTCATGAAAAACACACAGAGGCAATAGAAGCTAAAAATAAAACCATCTCTTCAATTTTGCTCTGTGAACCAAAATGAGGGATAATTTAGGAAGTTATGGGAGAAGGTAAGAAGAAATATTAAATGGGGCATTTATGTACAAACATTGATGGATACACTTACAATAAAATCTTAAAATCAGTTCTTAATAGATAAGCAGTGCAGAGATGCTTTAAATAGTTCTAGTGAGGCCTCCAGCTGCACTGTTAGGTACTAGTTAAAGATGTCTGACTGCTCTTCAATGCAGAACAGCAATTTAAAGCTGTCATCACACGGAAATCAGACTTTATTTTACGTAAATGTGTGTTTTGCTGATGCCGAGTCATTTTCTCTATGTGATTTTTTTTCTCCTAAAAATGATTAAACACAATTTTAATGACAGTTTTAGAAGGAGTTTAAATGTAAAATACTAGGTTATTACTCCTGTAAGTAATCAATCAGGGGAGTGTTGGCCTAGAGGTTAGTGCAGTGCTCTTGTGCTCGGAGAAGGTTGCAAGCACCCGGTTCGCTCCACTGTGGGTCCTTGAGCAAGACCCTTAAAGGAATAGTACACCCAAAACATGATTAGCCTTCATTTTCTACTCACCCCCATGCTAAACAACACTCTGGAGTACTTTGATATCTCAAATGCATCTGGAGATCTGGGAGGCTTCTTGCTGTCTGCTGACATTCAAATAATGGAGGTCTATGGTGCCCGAGGCAGAAAGGTCCATAAAAGTCCACAAAAAACGTGTCAATATTCCTCCATACTGCTCGTCCAATGTATTCCAAGTGTCCTGAGTGGGTAGCGTCCGTAATTTACTCGAAACGAAGTCATTTAGAATGTTTTTAGAGCATAAACAGTAGTGTATAGGATTTCCTAAAAGCGCGTTCACGAGCCTACGGAAACCGCGACAGACCAAAGCAGATGAAAGTGCGCATTCAGCGTCTGCTCTGCTGATAATGCAAGCGTAGAAGAAGAAATGTGCTGTTTACCTGTGCAAAGAAAGAAACAACGAAAGAAAAATATCGGAGGACTTCAGTGTTGAGGAAGAGCATGAGTTCTTTGCCGAGCTGAATGCGCACTTTCATCTGGTTTGGTCTGCCGCGGTTTCCGTAGCGTCGTGAACGCGCTTTTAGGAAATCCTATACACTACTGTTTATGCTCTAAAAACATTCTAAATGACTTCGTTTCGAGTAAATTATGGACGCTACCCACTCAGGACACTTGGAATACATTGGACGAGCAGTATGGAGGAATATTGACACGTTTTTTGTGGACTTTTATGGACCTTTCTGCCTCGGGCGCCATAGACCTCCATTATTTGAATGTCAGCAGACAGCAAGAAGCCTCCCAGATCTCCAGATGCATTTGAGATATCAAAAAAGTACTCCAGAGTGTTGTTCAGCATGGGGGTGAGTAGAAAATGAAGGCTGATCATGTTTTGGGTGTACTATTCCTTTAACCCCACACTGCTCCCTGGGCGCCGCACGATGGCAGCCCACTGCTCCCCAGCGAATTTCTCAAATGTGAGATCATGTGAGAATATTAATTCTTAATAATAATTCAATTATATAGACAATGATGTTGTCTGATGAGGAAGGATAATTCATCCTATTTTTGGAATATTTCTCATCGGATTTAGAGCAGTTTTAGTAAATTGTTTTGAGAAGCACGTACGAGTCTAAGTCTAAAACCAAACAAGGTTCCTGTCCTCTCTTCTGCAGCCTGAAGAACCTGATTAATGGGAACTCTATGCCTTGGGACCAAACTCTAGCGCCTCTGTTTAATAAAAGTTTAACAGCACAAAATATAATCAGAGCTTTGCACCAGAGAGATGATAAGAAAGATTAGTTTACTCAAAAAAGATTAGACAGGTTCATGGATAAATAGATTAGAGGTTCAACAGCATGGAAATTGAAATAGTGTACATGTGAATAACTTGAGCAAGAGGTAAAATTTATGTAAAAGATAACAGTGGGACAAGAATAAGTCTTGAGGGACACCACAGATGAGCTTTACAAAATTAGACTAATCGTTGCCAAAAGTAACTGAAAACATTGTTTAACTTTAATAATTCAAACCTTCTCAGTCACTTCAGTGGACCATTGCAGACAATCAAAGGTCCAACTACATGCATAACTGAAAAGCAGCATCTGATTTCATGCTTAGAGAAGTTTCAGAACTGCAGTGCCTACTGAGATCAGACTGAAACTTTCCCAAAAATTACATTTTCATTTAAAATGGATAAACTTCAGGGAACACACAAATTTATTTTAAAAAATGGCAATGAAAGGTCATTTGGAATTAGATCTATATGTACTTTTTGCTCTAGGTATCCCTTATAGATTATAGATAAATAAACCAGTTACTTAAATTAAATTGTCTTATATAATTTTAATTTGTAGTTTATTTCACTGCCAACACAAAACATAATGGAGAAAACACGCTAGAGTCGTCCTCCTCCTGTATTACATTCTCGATCTCTATAGAAAGTTTAGTTATCAGGCTCGTCTCCTGTGGAACCAGCTACCAGTTTTAGTCCATATCCGTATCTCTATAGTTATGCTGCTATAGGCTTAGACTGCTGGAGGACATAGGGACCCCTTTTTCTCATTCTGCTTCATTCTATCTCTATTCTCCCACTCTGCAGAATCTGTTAGTTCAATCTCTAACATTCTGCTCTCTCTGCTTTTTCTCATAGTAGCTTCATCTGGTCTGTTCCTGTTTGGCTGTGACTCCATCCTGGAGAGAAATATCAGCTGTGCTGCTGCCATCAACACCTTTGTTTCTAGATGTTGGAGCTTGGCCTGTTTTCCAGTGTAGTCCTGTTTCTCTGACTGTGACTAACTGGATGTGCTCTCTTCATCCTCTGACATGGGAGCTGGCTCGGAGCTCGTCTGCCTGGCTGTGTGTTTCCTGGACGGGGCCGCCTGTGGAGCTGGTTGACAGTTGCCTTTTGTATCTATGCTTCTTTTTGTATGTCTGCTTCTGTCTCCTTGAACCCCAGTGGGACTCAGCAGATGGCCGCTCACACTGAGCCTGGTTCTGCTGTAGGTTTCCTCCTGTTAAAAGGGAGTTTTTCCTCTCCACTGTCGCTACAAGCATGCTTAGTGTGAGGGATTGCTGAAGAGTCAATGAGTCGATGCAATCAGCTGGTTTTCCTTAGATAGAAAACTTTGAATCAATCTGACTGGATGATCTGGTGAACTGGAAAGTGGCTTGAGATGACATGATGTGAATTGGAGCTATGGAAATAAACTGAATTGAAGTTTAAAAAGGTCTTAAATACAGCTGATGAGCAGAAGTCAGAACATTGAAAGAAAGGATCCATCTATTATGATTGCTCACCACAGAATCCTGCCCCTGCAATCTGTTTTTTTTTTTTTTTAGTTTTTACGGCACAAGAGGCTCGTTTTATGGACAGTAGGCCGACGGGAACAAGGGTATGAGAGACGGGGAGAGACTACAGGCCTGATTCGAACCCGGGTTACCCGCGTCGAGGGCTAAGGCCTCCATACATGGCTGCAGGCTAACCACGCCGCCGCCTGCAATCTTGTGGTAATCTGAAAAGGCTTCCTGCTGACTAGGACTTGTTATCTGGGAAAGTCTGCACCCAGGAAATGAAAACTACTGAAATTTTAATGTTTCATTTAAGTGTTAAACTTTGCTAAGTGCTGCACATCCATGAAGTAACACCTCTGAAACCGCTGCCCCATTTCCAAAATTTTTGAAAAAAAAAAAAATGTATAATGACTTTTATTGGACTGATTTTGTAAACAGCAATGCTTACATCTACATAGGGCTGCACAGAATCAGGATTTCATTAAAAATCGTCATTATTGTTTATATGCAGAACTATTTATTAGAACCATTTGTTTGTCAAAGTCGTGGTACAGGAAGAACTGTATAACAATAAACGTTCTTTAATAACTCTAAAGTAGGGATGAGAATAGAGAATATTTATATTGCGTTTCTGTGAAAAAAAAAAAAAATCGAAATTGATTAGCTGGTGCCGTAATGCTGCTCCCTGTGCTAATCATGCTTATTGCTATTACAACATGTGCTAATGATGCAAAATGCAGATTTTATACTCTGTAGGCAGTTTAAAATTAGATTCCTGTTTCTTTTCTGCAGAGCTGTGTAAAACTGGCAACAACATAAATGTATGATTAACAACTTTCAAACCAATGGATGCTACAAAATCATACATTTTTTTCGCTAAATATTAGGTTAAAAAAGCTGTTAATTATACTTCTTAATCTTGTCAAATATTTTAGGACACGGTTCAAATATCCAGGACAGGAGCTGTAATCTGTTTTGCAAAGGAAATATTCAAATTGTAAATCTCCTTCTACTTTATCTACATACAATGGAAATTATTGATGTTCTTATAAATTAATAAAAAAAATGATTATGAAAATGTTTTTATTGAGATAAAATCCCAGCAGGTTCAGTAGTACTCTGTTAGAAAGATAAGAGTTTTTTTTGTCAAGTTAATAAACCATGAGGATCTCCTTCATCCCATGCAAAGCCTAACTCCATCCGCCGCAGCGAGAGGAACGGCGCCATCACAGAGGAAAATAACCGTGCACATATGCCTCAGGCTAAAGTGGAGCTGCAAATTAGCCTGATACATTTTTTAGCTGTTGGAGGAAAAGTTGGAGAGCATGCATTCTGCAGGGAGAAATTCACATATGCATTTTAAATGGCAGCCTTATTAGCAATGCTAACCACCTTGCAGCATGCATCATTAATGTACGACGGAGTATTAGGGCCACACATGAAGAGAAAAAATATTTTTGCCATGACGAGATTAAACTCGACATGTCGACTTTAAACTCAACATTTTGAGAATAAAGTTGAAATGTCATGTTGAGTTT